CTCGTTTTGGCATATCAAATCTAGCCATTTCCGGTGATATCGGTGCGTCACGGTATCAGTGCTCGTCCTCCAACACAGTGTGTCGGGCATCAATTCCATCGCAACATTTGCTTTCATCGCAACATTTGCTTTCATCGCAGCTTTTGCGTCACGCTACACACAAGGCAGCTGGTTCATATCGACATCATGTCAAATCTGTCTCAACTCGAAATCCGTCCCCTTAGCGTGATGCGGAAGGGGCGATCAAACACATAGTCAGTAAATCAAATCAATTCATTCAGCAGCAAACAAGTGATTCAACACAAGTGCACAATTCTCAATCAATTCTCAGTATATCAGAATGTCTCAATATTTCACGCAGTGTGGCACGTTGGCCGAGTAGGCCTCGTCTCGCCACTGTCAAACTCCACCTCATAAATGGAAGTATCAAGCAATGGGTTAGTATTCGAAAGGCCAATCAATTTCCCATCTGAATTCCTCTTTGCACTTTGTGATTGGGCCGTAAGACATTTTGTCACCCTGTGCGACACAAACACGGGTCGAAATGTACTTATCGAAAGCCTCGTGTTGGATCTCATCTGCCTCCGCCAACTCTGGCAAGGGTAGCAACTGATCTCAGAGTGCGAACACCGGAAACTCATCGCCGGTTCATCTGGTTGCCCACGCTAGATCCACCAGGAACATCAGTCCGGGATCGCTTCTCGGCTTGCAATGCCGAGACTTGGGACTGGGACTCTGACAACTGTGTCTGCAGCTCGGCAATTTTCCGCTTGTCACCATCGCGGGCGTCCCTAGCCTGTTGCTGCTGCGCCGATGTGAGCTGAGCCCACTCATCGGGATGATAGTATCGTTTTGAGTCATCGGGGTCAAAACCTCTGCCTTCACGGGTACGACCACGTCCTCGTCCCCTGCCTCGACCTCTTCCATGGCCTCGGCCTTGGGACCTGCCACTACCACGTCCACGGCCTCTTCCATCAACAATTGGGGAGGGTCCGCGATATCTACCTCTTCTCGTTCGGACTCGTACATCGCCCAAATTGTGTTCAGTCTAGCCAAAGTGGCTTGGTTGGGAATGATTTGACGCTGGATTCATAACATGTGTGACTTGTAGAACCGTAGTTGTCTAAGTCGCTTCTCAAATCCAAACCCCAGCTGTCGTCCTCGATTGGGAACTTCTCTGGGCAGAACTGCTGCGGCAGCTGCATCATCGGCTGCGGCCGCAATGGCTGGATTCGGAATGGTACCACCTGGTTTCCTCACATTCTCGCAGATGCTCTTGATATCGGCATCGGTAAAGGTATCAAGTGAGACGAAGGCATCCAATCCTTGATCATTCAATGCTGTCCTCGTGGCTAGTTCGGTAATACCGATGGTATTCTGTAGATAATTGTTCATGGCTGCAAGATTGCCTGCCATATTCGCCTCCAATTACTTCTTCTCTTGCGGTATCACTTGGATGAGCAACAGTTGTGGGTCTTCTCTCTGCTCCTATTCCAACAGTAAAACTGTACACACCCAGACAAGTAAAACTGTATTCAAGGGAATGAGCTCTGCACACCCAGTCTGTGGCAGTCTAGGCCAAAACTCTTGGATCAGGCGTCCCCTCTCCTTGGCTCAACCGGTTTCTTTGGTGACAATGAGGCAGGAATTGATCCAGACTGGAGGGATCAATATTCCAAGTCCAAACCTCTGCTTCCCACTTGGAAGTCTCTTCCTCTCCACTTGAGAGGGCCCCTTCTCTAGAGAGGTCTTCTGTTGCTATGCCGCTTGGAGGTCTTCTCTTCTTCTCTTATTCCTCTGCCGATTACTTTCGGGCAATGAGGATCTCTTCTCTTCTCGTCGAGTCGTCTCTTCTTCTTCTCTCTTCTTCTCGTCGCTTCGAATCGGCGACAGTGGCGTTCGAACGAACGAAAGCGTTGCTTCGAACGGTAATGGTGTTGCTCTTCAAACGGCCGACAATGAGGTACGACCGCTTCGTTGCTTCGAACGAACGAACGGACGGTAGCTTCGAACGTTGCTTCGTTCGGACGGTAGCGTCGCGTCGAACGGTAGCGCGTTCGAACGGTAGCTCGTTCGAATCAGCGACAATGGGATACGGCCGATACGGTCGTTGCTTCGACGCTTCTGCTGCTATCGCCTTGTTCTTCTATCGATCGCTAGGGTAGCTTCCACGCCTGATAAGCCGAAAAAGGCTGATGGTGGTGTTGATAAAGAGGTTGCTATAGTGTTGTGTGTGTTACTACTTGGTTGTTGTGGTTGTGGTTGATTTCTAGTAATCTGGTAACTGGATAGTCATAAATCGCTACCACAGGTCATTTTCGTATTCCTTGGATTCCTTTGAGCTCTCTAGATATTCCAGGAATGCAGGAATTCCTTGACTCCTCCAAGGCTTGGTTGGTATTTACTGTTTATTCCTTACTGCCATGAGGTCAGTAAAAGGAGCAGTAATGGCAGTAATGCAGTAATTCCTCAGTAGCAGTAATCATACACAGTAATTTAGAGCCAATTGAAGGCAGTAAACTACAGTAATTGCAGTAATATAGGCTAATTACTGTCATTTACTGTCATTTACTGGATATTCCTGTTGCATAGCCCGATTACTTACTGCATGGGATTACTTACTGCAGTAACTAGGGGGCCAACAATGGCAGTAATTGGACAGTAAGGAGCCAGTAACCCGGATTTACTGCAGTAAATACCAACCAAGCTCCAAGGAGCAGGAATTCCCCCAAGGAATGTACTAGCTAGCATTGGTAGACTACCGTTCTCAGCTACCGTACGGTATCAGCGTATCAGCCATTTTCGCACGGAACATTGATCATGCAAAGACATGCTGTACACCGACTGAAGCTGTCTTTTCTTGTTCTTTGTTCTACTGGAAGACGTACAGGTTCCTTGCCTAGAAGCTCGTTAAGCTGCAAAGCTATCCTAACAAGGCGAGGTTGCAGAGTCGCCAGGTTTCAGCTTTTCCTTGCAACACTGGTACCAGTACCACTGTACCGGTACAGGATTTTATCTCTGTGGCACGATTGAGGACCCATTGGCTTGTTAACTTAGGAATTACGAAGTCCCCGGAGGGATTAAGTTATAGGACCCATTGGCTTGAGTCCACGTCCATCCGGCTGGCTAGCTAGCCGGACTTTCCCTCTTTTACAATGCTTTCCACTTCCAATGTCTGGCCCCATGGTTACAGTACCTGGCCATTGAAGGTTGCATTACGAGATTTTGGAACCGTATCTTGTGTTCCTCTTGAAACACGAGAGCTTCCACAGGCCAGGTTCTGCATGTAGCTTTCGATTCCTTTCCATGCGGTGCATGTCGGCGCGTTCAATTTGCATGCTTGTGCCGTAAGATAATGGACTCGGCGACTCGTACTGCGACCCAAACGAACTACCGTACCGCAATCTGGCATGGCAATGGAGCAGCGAGTTCTTTGGCTTCGGAGCCTGCTGTTGCTGGGACGCTCTATCTCGGAGCAACCAAGCCCGCTCAGATTGAGCGTTCACCATCCACCCATCCATCTTTCCACCTTTGCTCTTGCCATTCGAAACTCGATCGACGAAAGCAAAACACCAAGTAGCAAACATTCCCTTTGTTCACATTCCTGAGCCTTCAGGTCGACGAAAGACCAGCCCACCTCTCGCTATTTATACTCAGTCAAACGAAGGGGTCGCAAGGACTACTTGTTGTTCTGGTCAGGCGAATGGCCGGTTGGTGGCTTATCAGTTACACTGCCTGTGTACAGTTTGACGAAGACGCAAAGGACAGTACTGCTAGTGTTTGCAGAAGTTAGAACAGACGAGTTGAGTCAAGTCTGACACCTCTCTGATTTCTGGAAGTGCACCGGCACTGCAGAAGCAAGTACTAGTATTGGGATTGCTGAGAAAGCACATCGGACCGTCACGGAGTGGAAACCGCAAAGGCTGCGTACCGGTACGGTAGGTACATGTACCGGTATGTAGTAGTGGCATCTTTGGTTTCAAGGGAATCGAATCGAATCGAATCGAATCGAATCGAATCGAATCAGCCAATGTTGCGACGTCGATCATGCCTTCAAAGAAACAAGCTCACTTCCTTCTTGGCTACAAACGGTACCACACACGGCATGTCAACAGCCCACGAAACGCAATCATTTGACACAAGACACAAGGCAAGGAAGTGCCCAACTTGCCGCCGATGAAGACAACTACCATACAGCCTATGCCCGTGTAGTGTCTGCCCTCCCAGTTGCCTCCATCACCCCAGAAGTCCGAGTGCTCTGTGAGAAACTCTACCCAGAACCCACTTCCTATGTTGCCAAACACCCCAAATCCACCCGACAGTCTGGTCGACCACCTCAAATTCCGATGGACCTCCCCACCCTTACCTCTTCCCTTCGACACCTCAAGCGAGGCACAGCTGCTGGCCCTTTCGCTGACCTCCCAGAAACCGTCAAAGGATTCGGCCTCTACCAACCCAAAGGCACCTCCCATCAGCCATACCTCCCTGCTCCTCAGCCAAGTCCTTCAGCTCATCCTCGACAACAAGATCCCTCCCAAGCCTTGCCGTCTGCTTCTCCGCAAACTATTTTATGGCGCTTCACAAAGACCCAGATGACCCCACCAAACTTCGACCCATCGGGATGGGAAGTGCCCTCCGACGCGTCAGCGGTAAATATGCCATGCAAATCCTGCAGACCCAGCTGGCCTCCTTCCTCCTCCCCTATGTCCAGTTTGCCATCTCTGTCAAAGGTGGCCTCCAATTCATGGTCGACAGTGCCAGAGCCCAACTTCATCGCTATGTCACCTCCTCCCCCAACCCTCTCCAGGCTTCCCGGGTCCTGCTCCTACTGGATATCCGCAACATGTTCAATGAATGCTCCCGGGTCCGCTTGCGAGACTTCCTGTTTGAATCTTATACTTCTCCTGCCTTATACCCTTCTACGACCTGTGCTATGGCAACCCCAATCGCTGCTACTACTATGATGACACTGGAACCCTCTGCTACCTCACCCAAAAAGAAGCCATGCCCAAGGCTGCCCCCTGGCTGCCACTGCCTCCGTCTTCTGCCTTTGCCTCCTCCTGTCCAAGCTTCTTGCCCTCCTTCAACAGCAGGCTGCCCTCAGAATTGCCCAAGGCGACACAGGCGATGATGGCATCGGCTCCCACGCCACTGTCTCCTCCTACATTGATGACACCAACACATTCATCCTCCCCCCCGACATCATCCCCTTCCTTACACACCTTCCAGACCGAAGGTATAAGAACTCGGCCTACAGTTTTGAATTTAACTCCAAGACCAAGCTCACTCACGAAACATTCTGGCACCCCTTCCAAAACCCCATGTCCGTAGCCGCATGTCCTACTTCATCTCAGAACCAAGCCGGCTCCTTGTCAACCCCGAAATCCACCGTCCGGTGTCCGCTATTCTGGGTCAACCAAATTGGCCCAAAGCATTCGCTACCCACTTACCTCACCCAACGCTGCTACCAAATACGACCACCAACCTTCCAGCTGTGGACCAGCCAACTACCCGACCTGCACCTCCAAGTGCCGTCTCTCTTCCCACCTCTTTGTGTCCCTACCTTCCATTTCAACACCCCCTGCAGACAGATGTCTACTTCATTAGACCCCACCACCATCACCACATCCACCCTCTTCGACTGGCACTTCCCCCATTTCAGTCCACCAATCTCCACTGCATCCACTCCTCTCCTCTCCCAACTTGGTGCGGCCACCTCCCTCTCCCCTGTTTCCCAACACCTCCTGTCATCTCCCTGTATCTGCCGGCGGCTTGGGCACACGCAACCACTCTGTCTCCTCCATCACAGCATTCCTGGTCTCCACCACCCGGAACCTCCGATATGCCACCAGCGGCATCATGTCGGTCCCCAACCACATTGCCTCCCTCCCCACCACCATGGCCCACACCCTTGCATCCTGGCAGCGTCCATCTACAACCGCCCCGCGCGCTCTTCCAACTTTCACCACCCTCCTGCACCCACTTCCTACCCCTTACCATTCCCTCCCGTCTCCACCTCTCTGATCCCCCCTCCCCCCAGTCACATTGTCACTGATGGCAACCTCCAAGGCCTTGCCTCTGCCATCTACACTAAAACCACCCGCCTCCACCCGACTCATTCCTCTCTACTGCCCCTGCCTCCACCACTACCATCTTCCCCTCCATTCTCTCCCACTACACTGCCACCCCCCTCCGGTCCTACAACCGCCGGTTCCCTCACAACATGCTTTCCAATGACATCTTCCAGCTCCTCTACCAACGGAAACTCCGACTCGCCATCCTCCCCCCAGCCATCTCCAACCAACCTTGCCACCATTGCAAACGAGTTCTTTTAGACCCCTATGGTGACCATTTCCTTCAATGCACCCCACTACAGCAAGAAACGCGCTAAGTGATGGCATTCGTGACACTGTGTACCACGTCCTCACTCACCTTGCCCCCCTTGCTGGCATCACTCCGTCCAAGGACGGAGTCACCTGCAAACCCAAGACCCTCCTCGACAACCAGGGCTACCCCAACCAACGCCCTGCCGATATTGGCATCTCCCTCAACCCTCCTGCCTTCGACCTCCCCCTACCACCTCCATCCTCTTTCTCGCTATCGACATTACTGTTACCACCCCTCCTGAATCCTCTTGTGCCCGGTCTGCCCACCAACCCAAAAACCTTTCCCAGGCCCATCTCAAGTCGATTCGAATTAAGCTACAACAAAATTCTCGCACTGTCCCCACTGAATACTTTACTGCTCTCCAAAATGCAGGCTTCATCCTGCTCCCCGTTCACAGTAGACCCATTTCTTGGACTGGACCCTTCGCCCATGCCCTTCTCTACGGTCCGCTCGCCAACCATTCCCCCTCCCAGCAACCCCGTGGTCTGCCAAGACTCCCCACCCACTCCCAACGCTCCTACAGCCAACTCCTTTCAGCCCCAACCACCATTCTCCCCACTGCTGATACCCACTTTGTCACCCCCACCCAACTACTCATTGACACCCAACCCTACACACCTTCACGCTGTGGCACACCAATCCCTTGCCCTCAATCTATCTACCCACTTAGCACAACACTTTCAACGCGCCATTACACGCCAAGCTCGATCCCTCTATTCCTCCGGCTCATCCCCCGTCCTCAGTCCTTGCCGGTCCATATATGCCTACTTCACGCCCAGAACCCCTCGATCCCTTCCCCTACTTTTACAAGCGGACGTTACCTAGTGACTTCCTTTCACGTAATCCCTTTATAGTTATTTATTTATTTATTTATTATTTATTTATTTATTTATTTATTTATTATATTATCTAAAATCTAGTCGCACACACTCAGGCTCCAGGCTCCAGACTCCAGACGTCCAGCTTTGGCATTACCAGCTTGTAGTCTTTGCTTGTTGGGACCGTGCTGGAAGTTTTCAACCATAATTTCTAGTTTGCATTTCCGGAACAACTCCTATCAGTACCATGGCTATGCAAGCTTCCTTTCACTCCTTGTGCTACCCGAAATGGAGGTATCAATTAAAGAGGACAATCATCAAGGTCACTGCAAACCAAGCGCATGTCCCGCTGCTGACTGCAAAATCCACAATCCTCGGGCGCTTGCCTACAACAGATGGTTGCCATCGGAAGATCAAGTGAGCATGAAGACAAAGTGCAGTACACTCCCTCCTTCACCTCCCCGTCGTCGCAGGAATCCACCAGGATCGAGGTGGTCAGAACAGCCTTCTGACAATGACAACAAGACTCCCTTGCGACGAAGAAAGAGCATGCCCCCAACAAAGCCCAAGCGCCGTCAAGGCCCTCGTGAACGCGACATTACCAGGAAAGCTTTCATTGCACCTGAGCTATGGTCGAGAGAGGCGGCATGCACGCACCAGCCAACTGCTCTGGCAGCTTGAGCAAGACAAAGGAAGTCAAGGGGTTAACCAAGAATAGCGCTGGCGGGTTGCAGCACTGCTAATATTGCACCATACTAGTACAGTACCATAGACGTAAAACGATACATTAATTTGTCAAACAAAACGTTGTCGTTAACTTCCACCACAGGCTGGAGTACGGTATCCTGTATTCCTGATATCAGATGTTGCAACTCCTACCTCCTACACCTACACCACCAAAGTGAAATTGTTCTGAGAGAGATCCCTTTTAATAAAACAATGCCTGCTGCACCGGGTTATTCGAATCAAGAAGTGTTGCCAGCACCATGAAAAGCTAGAGCCAACCTCGCATGACAACCGCATGGCTTCCATGCATCTGACTTTTTAATCATTCCTATCAGTATGCGCTGACAGCAACCCCAACCCATGGAGTTTTTCATCTTCCGGTACCATCCGCTTTCTCGCTATCTTGAGTATCAACACTTTCAGGTCTGCTCTTGGGTATTTCGACACGGTCAAAGATATAGTATGTACGTGTACTTATACCGGTACCTTATACAGCATGTACTGATAGCATATCCTTTTGGCATCTCCTCCAACAACAGCTTTGGACAACGAAAAGAGTTCCGACTGTGACAGAATGCACTACACAATGAAGCAACTTGACATCACAATAGCCGTAGCCCACATGACATGTATTTGAATTGTAACACCAGCAGACA